GTTGGTCTGTGTTCTGTCGGAGCTGCCTGCGACGCGCTGATGAGATCCAAAAAGATCGAAATCGCGATCCGCGTCTGGCAGTTTCGACAGAATACAGACCACTTCGAATTATTTTATTCGATTAAGCTAACGTGCCTATCACGTTGAGGTTGGCTACGCCAGGATTCGTTTTCAGCAAGTAGATATCCACACAAGTGGACCTTGTTGAAAAATACGTAATCCTAAAATGTAGCATCGTGCTACAGATGGCGTTCACTGTGCCGTTTGTAGTATTTTCTGAAACGTACTGTTAAGACAGCAGGTAAAAGTTGGTCTGTGTTCTGTCGGAACTGCCTGTGACGCGCTGATACGATCCACAAAGATCGAAATCGCGATCCGCGTTCGGCAGTTTCGACAGAATACAGACCACTTCGAATTATTTTATTTAATAAAGTACCAATTTGCTGGAATGTCCATGTAAAATAAATGGCTTATTTAGGGATCACGTTTGACACAATTATTAATCCGCCACTGCAACTCTTGTATAGAAAATAGCTTTAAATTTTATAGGAAATTCTTTTGGCATTTCTGTCAATGTATACAATGTATCTATAAGCACTTTAATGTTTGTTATTTTACTTACTTATGAAGGCAACGAGCAGCAGTCAGAATGAATTGTTCTGCAATAATTGACCCTCCGCAGTTAGCGTAATTGTTATAATACAATATCACTTGATAAGGGTAGTCTCTAATGTCAGCCTTTTGCCCATGTATAATTATTTCTTTGTAATCTCTGCCAAATTTGTTACTTGGTTTCGGATAGAATCCTTTTGATAAGAAGGTAGAGAATAAAATGAGGTCAAACTGTTTAGTAAATTGTTTTGTAAAGATTTCTATTACCTTTAGTGTGAAACTCATCCCGGCCAGCGGCGATTGCTAAAATATAACGATTGAGATAATCTTCGTTAGAATGAATATGATTATTAGGTGTTTCGGTAACTGTACGCTTATCATTTATTTGCGATGTTTGGTGAAACTGAGAAACATTCAGACTCGTCAACGTTAACTGTCAATTCCATATAATAATGTAGTATTACATACTGAAACTGTAGTGTTTCGGCAATGTTTAAAGTTTTATACAATTTTATTCTATTCAGTTGTAGATATACTACTTAATTTAAAAGAGTGAAAACATTTCATATATTCAATGGAAAATGAGAGAAACATTATTTAATTAAATGTCAGGTGATCAATTTACGATGTAATAGTCTCTAAGTTTTTACCAAAGTACAGAGAGACTATACATTTGAAATAAAAAAGAATTTACATAATAATTCACTAACTTAAAATTTTACCAAGGAGCATAATAAATATGCCATAATATAATTTATTTAGGTACCACTTAATTACATTTCTTGTAAAATGGCGATAGGGTCAACTTAGTTATACGGTGAGTCAACTAAAGAATTGTTAAAAATTATGATAAACCGCTAATTGGTATACAAAGAATAGCACATTTTTTAGATAATTATTGAAACGATTTCATGGTGACTTAATTTACTCTCAACATCCAATTCTCTACTCTGTTGAAAGGAATATCAGAGTATAGACAAATATACGCCGTTTCATTTAAACTGTTTTATAGTGGGTCTAAGCTAAATCGCTTAGACTCGTCAAAGTGTTATTATTATTATTTATTTATTTTTAACATCATATCGTAACTTACCGCTTGCAGAAAGGATAAAAAAAATACAATAAAAGATCTTCATTACCGAATAGTATTCAGCTACAAATACCACTTAAATATTAATTTTATATAGACATATGAAAATGCAACATCACATAAGTGAATTATTATGTATCGACTACTACGGTAGATATATATAGTAATACACCTCCTACTAGACATTTATTAATAATTACCATTACGTATTTTTGAACAATGTTACAACAGTATTCCAATAATATTATAACCACAATTCATTTTGCTTGATTTAATGTGTTTAGAACATTCTTTCGGGGATGCTATTGGAACATCGATGAAGTAAAGGTCACCAGTTTCGTCTTCAGGTGCTTCGAGAACATTAGTAAGACCGAATCCTGTTATTATTACAATATCGCCCACTTTACCGCTTTGATCATCATTAGGCAAATTTATTATTCTCACTGCATTTGAGAATTCAAACGGTTCATCAACCTATAAATAATCTTTTGTTAAATTGATGCCGGAAGAACGAGGTATGCACCTGTTGCTTAGCAAAAATATCTAATTTAAAATCTTATTTAAATTATTTCTTATTGCTGCTCAATAAATAATAAAGGAAAATATGATTTTTTTCAGTGTGCCAAACCTTATACATATTTATATCGCGTAGGCTTTTCCCAAAGCACTGGGTACTGAATTTGAAAGCAGTTAACTAACGTAATATTAATAGTAATAACTGAGACTTTGCTAATGACTCGTCAGTCAATTACTCTTCACTTTTCTTAATCATTAACATCCAAATGTCCGGTTTAAAATTTTACTTACGAATAGAATCGTTTCTAGATAGGTACGGATCGGACATGTAATAATTGAATTAAATAACTGAAATTGGTGTTAATTTGAGCATACCTTTACAATTCCAATGTCAAAGTCAGGTTGATCAGAATGAAACCTTTTGTGTATAAAAACTTTAACGACTCTTCGTTCTTGTCCATCTTCGTCTATATTCGATACTCCAGCTTTGACCTTATATTTGTTTGCTTTCTTACTGTAAAAATATAATTCTACCTAATGTGCATACAACAAGTTTATAAAAAAGGGTTTGATTACAGTTTAATTTACAATTATATTTTTTCTATTTTGTATTAAAAAAAGAACAATTTGGTTTATTTTTAAATACTATCTTAGATCTTGTATTTTGATACTTTCTGTTTTTTGTCTATTCCTTAGAAATTCAGACGAAGAGGAAATAAGGCTTTCTTTTTCATTGTTATTTATTTATTTATTTATTGACTAGTTAGGTACACTTAGAAATGTATGTCCAATGGGACTTCGCATGAGGATACAGAAGCTACCAAGCTACCGGACGGTGGCCTAGTAGTACACTACCTTGGTACATGAGACACCTTACGAATAACAAAAACTAGACAAAACCAAAAACGCAATTGTACATTATAAATTTCGTCTCTAAGTTTATTTTTAAACGCGTGGC